TTATTATTTTATTATACAGTCAAGAAACTACCAGAATATCTAAGCTCAAAAGTGTATACCCTGGTGATTGTGATGGTCTCTCTCTCTGGTCTCTCTCTGGTCTCTCTCTGGTCTCTCTCTGGTCTCTCTCTGGTCTCTCTCTGGTCTCTCCCTGGTCTCTCTCTGGTCTCTCTCTGGTCTATCCCTGGTCTCTCTCTGGTCTCTCCCTGGTCTCTCCCTGGTCTCTCTCTGGTCTCTCCCTGGTCTCTCTCTGGTCTCTCTCTGGTCTCTCTCTGGTCTCTCACTGGTCTCTCTCTGGTCTCTCTCTGGTCTCTCCCTGGTCTCTCCCTGGTCTCTCTCTGGTCTCTCTCTGGTCTCTCTCCGGTCTCTCCCTGGTCTCTCCCTGGTCTCTCTCCGGTCTCTCCCTGGTCTCTCCCTGGTCTCTCTCCGGTCTCTCCCTGGTCTCTCTCCGGTCTCTCCCTGGTCTCTCTCCGGTCCTCTCTCTGGTCTCTCCCTGGTCTCTCTCTATGGTCTCTCTCTCTGGTCTCTCTCTGGTCTCTCCCTGGTCTCTCTCTGGTCTCTCCCTGGTCTCTCCCTTGGTCTCTCTCTGGTCTCTCTCTGGTCTCTCCCTGGTCTCTCCCTGGTCTCTCCCTGGTCTCTCTCCGGTCTCTCCCTGGTCTCTCTCTGGTCTCTCCCTGGTCTCTCCCTGGTCTCTCTCTGGTCTCTCTCTGGTCTCTCCCTGGTCTCTCCCTGGTCTCTCTCTGGTCTCTCTCTGGTCTCTCTCTGGTCTCTCTCTGGTCTCTCTCTGGTCTCTCCCTGGTCTCTCCCTGGTCTCTCTCTGGTCTCTCTCTGGTCTCTCCCTGGTCCTCTCCCTGGTCTCTCTCTGGTCTCTCTCTGGTCTCTCTCTGGTCTCTCTCTGGTCTCTCTCTGGTCTCTCCCTGGTCTCTCCCTGGTCTCTCCCTGGTCTCTCTCTGGTCTCTCTCTGTGGTGACTTTGCTTCTAAATCTTGGTGGTATCTTTGCTTCTAACTGTTGGTGGTATCTTTGCTTCTAACTGTTGGTGGTATCTTTGCTTCTAACTGTTGGTGGTATCTTTGCTTCTAACTGTTGGTGGTATCTTTGCTTCTAAATGTTGGTGGTATCTTTGCTTCTTAATGTTGGGGGTATCTTTGCTTCTAAATGTTGGTGGTATCTTTGCTTCTAAATGTTGGGGGTATCTTTGCTTCTAAATGTTGGTGGTATCTTTGCTTCTAGCTGTAGTTATCTGCAGTTCATCCAGAGTGATCATGGGCCTCTTGGCTGCATCTCTGATAAGTCTTCTCCTTGTTTGAGATGAAAGTTTGGAGGGACGGCCGGGTCTTGGTAGATTTGCAGTGGTCTGATACTCCTTCCATTTCAATATAATTGCTTGCACAGTGCTCCTTGAGATGTTTAAAGCTAGGGAAATCTTTTTGTATCCAAATCCGGCTTTAAACTTCTCCACAACAGTATCTCGGACCTGCCTGGTGTGTTCCTTTGTCTTCATGGTTCTCTCTGTGCTTTAAACAGAACCCTGAGACTATCAAAGAGCAGGTGCATTTATACGGAGACTTGATTACACACAGGTGCATTCTATTTATCATCATCAGTCATTTAGGACAACATTGGATCATTCAAAGATCCTCACTGAACTTCTGGACTGAGTTTGCTGCACTGAAAGTAAAGGGGCCCAATAATATTGCACGCCCCACTTTTCAGTTTTTTATTTGTTAAAAAAGTTTAAATTATCCAACAAATGTCATTCCACTTCACGATTGTGTCCCACTTGTTGTTGATTCATGACAAAAAATTAAAATTTTATATCTTTATGTTTGAAGACTGAAATGTGGCAAAATGTTGAAAGGTTCAAGGGGGCCGAATACTTTCGCCAGGCACTGTATGTAGATAAAGTCCATAGATTTTCAGGACTATAGCATAATAAATCTCTTGTCAGAAGTATAAGTCGCAATGTTTTCAGGTGGATGAAGAATATATAAATGACTAATTCCAGATTTCATGTTTAGAGACAGAAATGAACCCAATAATGTGGCGTGTGATGTCGGTGAAGCCGGAGTGAAGCCGGAGGAGGCTGCTTTTGTTTTGACACGGTTCTGTCCTTGGTTCTGTGGCGCCCGCGGACTCCTGCTGCAGATCGGACTCTGTGTCTGGGCTTCTGTAAGTGACACGTACGGTTATAGCCCGGGCCTGTCAGCGCCGGCGAGAGCTCAATCCGCCATCTTTGACTGCGTTTGATGGATTCTGCCAGCCACACGGGTCGTCGTTAACCAAGATCCACCCGGACCACGAGGGACGAGAGGAGATTAAAACACAAACCAAACTCTCACGTCTCGCTGCAGAGACGGCAAAACTATACGCCCCCGTGTCAGTGCGGAAGTGCGCTAGTATGGCCACGCACACAC